CTCCGCCCCGCCCACCAATGCCCGCCCTCTTCCAGGGAGCTGGCGTCGCCCCGCTGCGCCCCGCGGGGAGAGAAGCCACGCTGAGAACCTGGGAGGCTCGGTCCTCTGAGCCTTCGCCCTGGGGTGATGACCTCACCTGGTGCCATCTGCCTAGTGCCTCAACTTTGGGGTGATTGTGGTCATTAATGAGGCCCTGATATCCAAAGCGCGGAGCCCTCTGGTTTCGGGGGTGGGTCCCGTGACCCCCCATTGAGAGTCCCTGTTTTCCTGGGCTCCCGAGTAGTGCACAGTTTGCCCGTCACACACGTTTCCATTTCACAGAGCTTTCACACTTCATTCCCAAAGCCTTCATCAGCACCATGACTGATAGAAGAATTATTTGAGAACTTAAATTCAGTAATCCTAGGAATTACTGAAGAGGCAGCTGGTCAACCGATGGTCATTGGCGCAAGTCAATGCCAACAGGAATCTACAACTTGCGGTGCAGTGAAGGAAACTTTATTTAGTAAAAACGACTGAATTGTAATTCAGCTCAATTATGGAGCAGCTGTGAGGTGACCCTAGGGCCACGTACCGTGGCCAGCACTCTCTCTGGCTAGACAGCCCTGCTCTTCTCCACTGTGAGCCTTCCAGACTGGGAAACTAAGGCAATCTTCAGTCTTCCATGGAAAGGGAAAGGGACTCTCCTCTCTAGCCATCCATTAAGAGGGGAGCTGACATATAACCAGAAGTCCCCATTCGTGGTCCCTGACTGGTCCATCCTTATGCAAATGAGGACTCCAAATTCTCACTGTCTGATTGGTCCAAAAAAGCGCTGTCCTGATTGGTGAGAATGGCGCTACTCTGATACATTGAAGAAGATGCTAATGGGGGTAGAGCTGCACAGATCCTATCAGAAGGGGACGTCTCAACCTCTTGGTTATAATAGGATTCCAATGACTCCTTTATAAGGGCTGGCTCTGATGGCGGCAGCACAGTCAGGCAGGCGGTTCCTGTAGGTTTCCCCGTGAAGCATGGCTTGAGTGAGAGGCCCCTGTTTAGAAATGGCTGCTAGACTTTGTTTTTTTAAAATTTGGGCCCAGTTAGCCACCAGGAGCCCTTCTTGGTAGGTGTCTTCTTTCTCAGGGTCCACAAGACTCACCACGTATTTACTGAGCATTTACTACTTTTGGGGGGCTTAACAGCTATCTCCATTAGCATATTCCCAAAAGAATTTGGCAAAACTTGTACCCCTCCCACATTTTTCACTTTTTCGAAAAATAAAAGTTTAACAGTTGCAACGGATGTAATTTCCCACATCCTGTAAATATTTTAAAATAAAATTACGTCCTCATTTAAATTTTACATGGTTTGTTTTCCCTTTAAAATTCTATTTCCATTTATATCCCTTGCAGAATTTTGTCATATTGTAACATTTTTATACATTTGATAGTTTTTTTATTCATGAGCCTACCATACTTCTCCACAATAGACTACACATACATGTAAGTTTAAATTAATATTTACTTTCTTATAGCTAGAAAGTTCTAAGTTTTAAAGTTTTCTTGTGGATTAAATTATCATTACAATTATTATTAGTACATGATTGATAAAAAACACCTAAATATATATTTTGGTAAAGACTTTTAGATATTAAAAGTAATTCATTGAAAACATATCCTTTAATCATATCTATTGTGCTTTTAAAAAAATTAGTTCAGGTATTTTGAAATTATTGAAATTTTTGAAATTATTGCTGGAATGAGACAGAGTTCACTGAAAAATACAGCAAAAAAAGTGATTTTGAGTAGAATTCATAACATATTACCCATTAAGTTTATGAAAATTTTATAGGTTTTTGGTAGTAATAGATAAATTAGCAACAAAGCTGTTGAAACACAAGAGTGTGGAGGAGACTTGGGTTCATGTAAAAAGTGAATATGCATTTACAATACCTATATTCATTTGACAAAAGGTAATGATAATGTTTCTCCTAAAAATCTGAATAAAAGGTAAGAAGCTACAAAATTTACTCTTGATATAGAACTCATTTACTTGGAATTATAATGTTGTCACGAGGTAGAACTTCCTACCTGCTACCCCCTTGAAATAATGCAAAATATGTAACTGACATGTCCTTGATTAAGGAGGCATTCTCCAATAATATACTGTTTGGAGCATTTGAGGTTTTTAAAGAGTTAGTAAGTGGCTTATAAACAACAGAATTTTATTTTTCTCAGTTCTGGAGCCGGAAGTCTGTGATCAAGGTGCCCTCAGAGTCCATGTCTGGCGAGAGCCTGCTTTTCGGTCCAAAGATAGTCAGCTGTCTTCTCACTGTGTCCCAGGAGGTAGAGAGGGTGGGAGAGCTCTCCGAGGCCACCCTCAGGACCCAATCACCTGTCAAAGGCCACCTCTCCAAATACCATCCCCTCGGGGGTCAGTTCTCGACCTGTGAATTCTGGGGACACAGACATTCAGTCTGGAGCACTGAGTGTGCTGGCGAGGAGAAC